TCTTTTTGCTTATGTGGTGCTGAGGAATCGAACCCAGGGCCTCATGCATGCAAGGCAAGCGCTCTACCACTGAGCCACCTTCCCAGCCCCTATATAATCACCTAATCTTAATGAAAAATTAAAAAAAGAAATCTACTCTTTATCTGACTTACTTAATTATAACCCCCCAGTGTATCACCTTTACAATAGCAATAAAAATAGATTAAAAAAATAAATAAAATTTTTTTCAAGTTAAAAAAAAAAGTCACCCATACACCGTAGGTGTGGCATCAAACCTGGGAACTGGCCTAGAGCACAGTGAATACAGATTCAGAAGTGCCCTCTGAGTCAGCAAAGAATGCCCTCCTCAGGCTACACCATTAGGGGGTCACGGACATGGACACTCTGAAAACCTGTTCTTCTTGAACCTTCTGTGGAGGAGATGCCAACTAGGAAGTAAACTGGGCCTGCCTGCCTGCCCTCCTTCCCTCCACCTCCTTTTAGCAATGCTAAACCTAGGAGCTTCTGTATGCCAGGAAAACTCTTTACTACTGACCCATACCATTCACTCATAGGCTACGCTGAAATTTTAGACAAGGCATCTCAGACAAAACCTCTCAGACAAAAGTCTCTTGAGGCTAGGAAGACAGGCAAAAGATTAACTATCTAATTTTACCAAGAGTACCTGGGTGGATTCCCCTCTTCGTGTGGGGAAATATCCCAAAGTTTGTGGACCTGTCAGAAAATGACATTCTTTCTTTCTGCAAGGCCAGGAACCCCGTAAAGGAATCACATAGATAAGACTCTGGGGAACTTTTTCCAAGAAGGGAATTTATTGGTCTGTTAGCGTTAGATCCTATCTGAAAATATGGCATCCCAGGAAAAGCTACTCTTTCTACTTGTGTCTCATTATAGGAACAGGTTCTTTTTGTGTGTGTGGTGCTGAGGCTTGAATCCACAGCCTTAGGCTAATTCTTTACTCAATTAGCTTCTTAGGGCCTTGCTGTTATTGTTTTTGAGACTGGCATGGTACAGATAGAAACTTCTGTGTCAGCACTTCCAGCTCCTTCTGACTGAGGCCCAGTCAGACCCCTGCTTGTGGCATGTGGTAAACACTCGTTAAGGAGCTGTGGGAGGCATAATTAGGGCACCAGCTCGCCCTGCATCTGGGACCTCACTGAGCCTTTACACCACCACCACTCAGTCCTCACCCCACCTTATGCAGTTAAGTTAGAGGAGGATGAAGAAACGGAGGCTCAGAGTAGCAGGACCAAAGGCATGTGTGTCAGTAGTAAGGGAAGCACTGGGGTCCAAGCCCAGGTGTGGCTGTGCCCACCACCCACACAGCGGGCATCTGGAAATCTCATCTGGAAAGAGGTTTAGTTTAGGCAGGCGTGTGGATGGCAAGAAGGAACAGAATGAAAGTGAGAGGTGAGCTCACTAGCCCCGGAATAGAGCCTGTGCCCCAGGAGTCTCCCTGCAGCACCTACCTTCTTCAGAGAGGTTGTTCTCTTTGGTCTCTTTGTCCATCTGACAGCACCAGCCTTCGAGCCGCTCTGTTTCAGCCTGAAGCAGCTTCAGGAACCAGTAGCCATCTCGGCGGCAGGCCCCGGGCTGTGCGGGCTCTGCCGGGGAGCTGGAAGAGGTCTCAAGCCAGGGGTCCGGCGGGGGCAGCGAGGACGCCTCGAGGGCTGGGTCGCTGTTGTCTCCATAGGAGAGGTTGCGCTTGATCTGGGCAATCTTGGGGGCCTGCCGGGGGCCAGCATCGATGCTGATGGAGTTGGGGTGTGGTGGGGTACAGTCCGGGAGGCTCCTTTCAGATGACTTACAGCTTGAGTCATTGGCATCCTGGGTGTCAGAGTCAGTGTCCCGTCGGGAGGACATACTGTGAGAAGGGGCGCTGCTTCTGTTGGGTTGAGGGTAGTGGGATGGGGACAGAAGGGAGAGTGTCACCAAGAGAGCCAGAGACCAGAGGCCACCTGACCCGGACACACGGGAGACAGAGAAACGGATGCATCGTCTGCTCACCATGCGCCTGAAGCGGGTCCCACAGCCCCCGTCTCATTCTCGGCTCAGCCCTTGCCCCATCCCCCACACACGCACGCACACGCGCGCACACGCACACGCACACACACACACACAAGGACAAGGTCATAAGGTTGTCTGTTTACTGCAGTGGGGCCAGAAAAACCACCAACATCACAGAGCAGCTGGGGCCATGTCCCAGCCCAGCCTTGACCCCGCCATGGCTGACTAGTGTCAGAGCCAATGCTCATGTGTCCACCCGCTGGCCCCCTTGCCCGGCCTCCCATGCCCGGGACACCGCCCGCACCCAAACCCAGTTTGGTTATTAGAAGTCCAGCAAGGAGCAGTGGGTTAGGAGAGCAGGAGAGGTGAGGGCGGAGGGAGGGAAGGAGAGGGGAGAAGCAGCCACCACCTCTGCCCCACTTACCGCCAGTCGTCCTCTACCTGAACCCCGATGGACTGGAATTTGGTAGCGGGACTGGGCTCCTCTTTTGGCACTGGCTGAATGCAGTCAACCTTATTGAAGGACAATGACAGCAACGGCACGGAGACAAAGACAAAAATAAAAAACAAACACCACACTTGCTGCTGAAATTCACATTAGTGGGACGACGCAAACGGACGTGTGGACAGACGGACACGAGGCATGCAGACACTGCACATGGGCCCCAGGTGGGCCAGGTGAAGCCGGGCACTGCTCATTCGCGAGGAGGCGGGAAGGGGGGTGGAGATGACTGGCTTTCCCTACTCTGAGGAGGGGGCCATCACATCGATCGCTTTGGGTCCGTTGTCCTCCGAGAGGTGGGAACCGTTCCTTCTAGTCCTCTCCTTTACACGTATCAGAGAGAAGAAAAAAAAAAGGACGACGGAAGAGAAAGAGAACACACACACACAAAGCCACAGCCGTTATCTGGTGTAGTTGGAGCTGGGGGCTCTCTTGAGGCAAAGATCACTCCCCCAACCCCGGGGCCAAAGCCTGGATGGGCTGCTGAAAGTGCCTGGACTAAGACACACAGTTCTGGGTTTAGAACTTCTGCCAAGGCAAAAGCCAGCAACGTCCCCCAACACTAGGATTCCATCCCTGGGCCTCCATCACACATGGGCACCTTTAGCACTGCGTGGTCGTGGGGAGGGCCAAGCCAAGGCAAGCTAACACTCCTCTCCTTTCTTTCTCTTTGTGCAGTGCTGGAGATTAAACTCAGGGCCTTGCACTTACTAGGTAGGTGTTCCGCCACTTAAGCCCTCAAAGGGGATGACACGGTACCAGCCATATCCATCTTTTCCAGGACACACTGTTCCTGGCCATGGAGCAGCCAGGCCGGGCCTTCCGTCATGGCTCAAGAATAGGGAGACTCCACACCTGACCTGGTTCTGGAGGCACTAAGAAGTAGGACGAGGGCTCAGGAAGGTTCATTCCCACAAATGGGGGCTCCTGTATATCATGGGTGGAAGCTGGGGCCATGGAAGCTTTCTGGAGCAGACATCTTGGGAAGTGTTATCACCCTTCAACTGGGCTGCTGTGCAAGCATGGAACCGGGAAAGCCAGGGAAAAGGATGCTCAGGTTGGGCCAGAGGCTGGCATTGTACCCCAGTGCATGCTGGAGGTCCCAGCTGCTGCTCTTAGGCCTTCTGTGGCTTGGCCAGTGAGGTTGGGCTGTCCAAACAAAAACTTGGGTGATCAGAATGCTGGGCTCTTCTCTTCTTTAGTTTCTCTAAAACCCCGCCTGGAGAAGCTGGACTTATAAAGAAGCCCAACTGGATACAGACAGGAAAGTCTCCGGGCCAATTTCTTTCCTGCCCACCTGAGCTGCCACTTAGGGGAAACACATCTAAGTGCATGTAAGGAATTCCCCAGTGAGCGTTCTCTGTTCCATTCAGTGCCCTTTGCGTTCCCACGTTCCTTCTGCATTTTAGTGCTTTGTCCAACATGGCTACGTTCACTTGCTTAGGAGTGTCTGAGGAAATTGAGATCCCTGTGGCTCAGAGACACACACTTGCCACCGTGTTCCGTGGATGCTCCTATGGCATTTGGAAGGGTTCCAGCTCCCAGAGTCCCTTCCCCCCTATAGCCAGCCCTCCCTCACTCCTTGAGTGTGCTCTACTTTCTACTATCGTCTGAAGGTCCAGTGGACAGGGAGAGACCTCTCAATCTCCATTTAGAGCATCTCTTGGCAATCTAAAGCAGGGCCCACATTTGCCCTGCTCAGCTGACAGGAAGCAGGCTTACGGTATTGAGAGCAGGCAGTGGAGGGAAAGCTGGGGCACTGCTCTGCCGTGCCACTGATAGGGGGTGTGCAGTGGGTCTGGCCTCTGGAAGGGCGTTCTGGCTTGGGCCACATGAGGAACCATCTGCTTGGACCCTCGTAGGTTCTCACTTCTCCATCTGACATGCGTCTGGTGCCTCAAGCTACCTACCTGTTCCCAAGGCCTGAAAGGGCTCTGGGCAAAGTTCCCTTTGAACAACCCCCATGGCTCAAGGGCCCTGGGTCCGGAGGCCCCTGGCCCCTCGGCGTCTACGCTCCACGTTGTTCCCACTGCCAAGCAGGACTATGGCTTCCGCACCCGAGCTGACCTTGGATTAGAGAACCGTTAGGCCAGTCCTGCCTCCCAAGGGTCGGCTGGCAGGGCAGAGGGTGGAGTGGACAGACAGACGGTAGACAGCACAGTGGACAGGAGATGGCTGGCTGAGTGTAACTACATTCACGGGACAACCCACTGGAGGAGAAACACAGCCCCACGGCTGCAGACTGCAGCATGGTGGGGGACAGGAGGACGGAGTGGCTATGGGTGGAATTTGGTACAGCCACTTGGGGCTGACCCTCCCCCCCCCCCAAATAGCCAGAGAGACCGTCTTTCCCAGGAGACCTAGTGGGCCTCCATGAGATGTAATTACACACAGGCAGGTGCACGGAGTGGACCGAGGACACAGTACAAAAGGGGCCCCTACTTGTATTCCTATTGATGACAGTTTTCTTTTGGGGATGGTCTCGGAGTGGGACTCAGAGCTGGTCAGCGTCCCTTGTTCACTCTTCAGAGCTGCATGTTTTGGGAGTGGCTCTGGGGCTTCAGGGGCTGGGGTGATCCCGCCCCGCGTCACACTGGGTGGTCGGGTACTGCTGTCCAGGCTGTCTGACGAGTTGCTCAGGCCTGATTGGCTCGTCACCTCACTCTTGTGGTCTTGGCTGTCTAGGTAGGTGTCCTGGGCAGACTCGGTGCTGCTCTGGACCGTGACTGAGATGAACGGCTTTGAAGTGGTTCGTGGAGGGACCGGTGGTGGGGTCTTCTTATATGCCACGAGGCATGATGAACCTACAGGTGGGTGAGAGGAGGGCAGGCAGAAAGTGAAGGCTTCAATGCTCTCTTGCCCCCCGAGGTTGAGTCTCTGCCTGCCCCCACCTCACCCTGGCCTCCGTCATTCCCACAGGGAGGACTTCTAGTCACACACAGCCACAACCAAGACAGAAACACAAGCCCTGCCCACTCCATGCAAGACCAAGTCCAGCAGAGACGCAATACAAGCCAGAGTCCCTCCACCACATCCACACACAAAGGCCTAATCCAGTGGAGTGTGGGCTAGACGGCAGGGTGCGTGCTGCCACAGGCTGTGATGAGCCTGAGCCATGCCAGGAGGGGGACGGCGACCACAGAGCAGGACTCAGGTCAGCTAAGGGGCAGCTAACTTTGCTTTCCTCAAGGTCACTGAGACCCACTGCTTGGCTGACCTGTCCCTTCTTTTCCACCTTCCCTGCCTGCTCTCTCTAGGTATGTGCCTCTCTCTACCTGGTAGAGGATGACACTTTCTCTAAGACTCAGCAGATCCCTCCCACCTTGCCATTCTCACCCATCTACTGCTCCTCATGTGAAAACCTGCGCCCTTGTCTGCTGCCACCAAGACTCCTCCTTGCCTGGTCCCCAGGATGAGAAGACCCTTCAAAGTCCCTGCCCTGGTCCTGAGGGCAGGAGCCAGGGGAGTCCTGCTTGCCCTTCAAGGGCTACCCATGCTGGAGATGGTGCTGGCCCAAGGGCAACTCAAAACAAGGCCCGGTGCCATAAGGGACTGGGCAAGGAACAACAGAAGTCCTCCACCTGCCAGTCTGGGACAATGTGGCCCCAAGCTATCAGAATGGCTTCAAACTCAAGCAAGGTGCAGAGAGACCAAGTGACACCATCACCCCGGCAAACAGACTGCATCTTCTTATAGAACTTCGTGTTCAATCCCATACCACCAAGTAATTTAGGTATCTGTCCCACAGAGGAAACACCAGTGTCCAGGGCAGCTCTTCCAACTCTTACTGCACACAGCTGACAAGTGATTAGACGGACCGTGGCACATCCACACCACAGAGTATCGCTCAGCAGCGAGGAGTGAACTACTGATGTGTACGTGCAACAACTGGAATGAGTCTCAAGTGAATTACGCTAAGTGGAAAAGCAATTCCTAAAAGTTCCCTATCATCTGATTCTATTTTTACAACATTCTTGAGATGACCTAATTTTAGAGAAGAACAGTTGCCAGACACTTGGAAAGAAGGCAATGAGTGGGACAAGAGGGAGGGAGGTATGGTTATAAAAAGGAAGTAGCCTGGGTGCCAGTGGCTCACCCCTGTAATCTAGCTACTCAGGAGGCTGAGATCTGAGGATCATGGTTTGAAGCCAGCCTGTCTACAAGATACTTTCCCTCCTCCTCCCCTGGTACTAGGGCTTGAACTCAGGGCCTGGGTGCTATACCTGAGTCCTTTTGCTCAAGGCTAGCGCTCTACCACTGTGAGCCACAGCCCCACTTCTGGTTGTCTGGTGGTTTACTGGAGATAAGAATCTCACAGAGTTTCCTGCCTGGGCTAGCTATGAACAGAGGTCCTCAGATCTCAGCCTCCTGAGCAGCAAGGATCATAGGTGTAAACCACTGGTGCCCAGCTTTCACTTGCATTCTCTACAATCTCCCGACTTGCTGAGGCCTTGAAGAAGCTAAGAGCTTCCCCCAGATACACACCCCTGCAGCTTCTGGCAAGAAGGCTACTGGAGAGGAGGGGCTCAGGTCATCAGGAGAATAACCCCCCAAGACACCTTCCTCAGTGAGAAGCAGCGAGCCCGTTTGGGGAGAACAAGTTACCCAATTGTATTGGCCCTGTCAGCCAGACTGACAGCCTGAAGCTGGGTCACTAAGCCGCGCTCAGGAGCTCTATGGCTTTGGAACCGAAGCATCACAGGGACTGTGGCGTGGGGAACGGTGAATATAAGCACCCTACAGATGGGGCACATGCCATTCAGAAAGACTGGATAAGGTGCCCAGAGTTGCCAGTGGTCAGTGGCAACCAAACCTGCTTAACTACACAGCCCACTTCCCTCTGCTTCCAGGTCCTGGGCTGGATGGGGCTGCAGGTGTGGGAGACCTTCTATGATCACTGTGTCCCCAGAGCTGGCCCCTGGGCCCCGAGCTTACTTCTGGGGTAGGACGGGCCTAGACTGAAGGCTGATACCTGGCTTGCAGACCCTGGCTCTGTCCCAGGCAAGTTTTTACTTGCCCCCTGGCCTTTCTGGTACCCTCACCTGTTCAATACATATAACTCCATCATGCCCTCACTGAAGAACTGGAGTATCCCTGTGACGGAGGGCAGGACCCTTGCTCTGCCTTTGCCTGCTTGCTAGATGACAGCATCTGAGTCACTCCTTTGGTAGTAAGGGTGCTAAAGCCAGGAGGCAGCAGGAGCCAGACCTGAGTTCAAACCTGGCTTGGACATAATCAGCAGTGTGGGCCAGTGTCCTCGAAAAAAAGAGGCCAGGTTCAGCCTAGTCCAGGCTTGCTCTGGCTCTACTGCCTTGGAACAGAGGGAGCTGGGCCAGATCTCCATACTCCCAGCCACTGGTTCTCTGACCAGTCCCAAGGACAGGATGCTCAGACCAGCTGTTGGAGCCCACCCACCAGCCCCCCAGCACACAAAACTGACTCACCACGATGTCAGGAAGGGATGTGTTTGGCCTAAAGTCCCAAAGAAGCAGGTTTGAGTGAAGAGGTCTGACCTGGATCAGAACTGTGAAGCCAGCACCAATCTGCTCAGAATGTTTTTGGGGAGGAATCCCTCCTTTAAGTGGTGGTGAGGGGACAGTATGAAGGAGTCAGAGGTTGGCTGAGGGCTGAGGCAGGGACTCTGGTGAGGGTCTGTGTTTCTGTGTATAAGGTGGAGCTGCATAGGGCACGAGAAACGCACGTACGTGCGTGTGTGCGTGCATGCGTGTGTGTGTGTGTGTGTGTGTGTACGGTTGCTGCCAGGATATGGCAGGGAAGAGGCAGCTGGGGTTCAGGGTTGGGCTGAAACGGGCAGAGGCCTGATCTCCAGCCTGTCCTGTCCTCAGTGGGAAAGGGAACAGGAGAACCAGATGGGATAAGAGGAAAGTGAATGTATCTTGGGTTGTGTGTCTTCTAGGTGTAGGTCATAGCCAATACTAGTGCAACTAGCAGAGGATTTGGGGGCCTCTAGGCTCCCTAGGGGGCATGTATCCCTGTGCTTTGAGCCCTAACCCTGAGCTGAGGGATGGCCCCTGACCTCAGATAAGACTGCAGGGAAGGCAGGGCAACATTTCACCATCTGGAGTACTGCCAGCCCCTTACTCCAGCTCTCAAGAGTTTCAAGTCACTTCCTCTGACAAGCTCCCCCCCCCCATCTCTTCTATCACCAGGAACTTCCATCAGGACACCTTTCCACATTTTTTTTTTTGTCGGTCCTGGGGTTTGAACTCTGGGCTTGGGCGCTGTCCCTGTGCTCTTAAGCTCAAGGAGAGTACTCTACCGCTTGAGCCACAGCGCCACTTCTGGTTTTCAGGTGGTTTATTAGAGATAAAAGTCTTATAGACTTTCCTGCCTAGGCTGGCTTTGAACCGCAATCATCAGATCTCAGCCTCCTGAGTATCTAGGTTTACAGGCATGAGCCACCAGTACCTGGCTTTCCACATTTTATGCAGGCTTTGGACCCAGGGCAGTAATGGTCCTATCTGGTCTTGTCTTTTTCTTTCTTTCTTTCTTCCTTCCCTCCCTCCCTCTCTCTTTTTAAAATTATTTGTCGGTTGTGGAGCTTAAACTCTGGGCCTGGGCGCTGTCCCTCAGCTCTTCAGCTCAAGGCAGTGTTCTACTGCTTGAGCCACTGTGCCACTTCCGATTTTCTAGAGGTTTATTGGAGATAAGAGTCTCACGGACTTTCCTGCCCGGGCTGGCTTTGAATTGTGATTCTCAGATCTCAGCCTCCTGAGTAGCTAGGATTACAGGTGTGAGCTACCAACGCCTGGCTCTCTCTCTCTCTCTCTCGTGGGGTTTGAACTCAGGACCTTAGTGATGTCCCTGAGCTCTTTTGCTCAAGGCGATCACTCTAGCACTTAGAGCCACAGCTCCACTTCCAGTTTTCTGGCTTTGACCTGTGATCCTCAGATCTCAGCCTCTGAGTAGCTAGGATTAGGAGGATTACAGGCATGAGCTGCCAGCACCTGGCCCTATCTAGTCTTGATATAAATAACTGTTGCATGAAAAAACAAACTTTGATATTTCTAACCAAAATCAAGATTATTTGGCTCCCAATATGTGTGTACCCAGGGCTCCTCCTGGTCCTGAGCCCTTTCATGATCTCTGCTTACCCTTCTCACACCCAGTTGTCTCCCTTCCAACTTCAGAGTCCCAAATCACTTCACGCACCTACTCCTGCTGGCAGCCTTTGCCTCCACCCCAGCATTTTCTGGCTTACGCAGTCAGCCCCTCTCCTTTCTCTATGCATCAGCGGAAGCACTCAGTGCTCGGGTCATGCTCCTGAGTGCGACCATGTGTGTTCGTTACCCAGGGGGCACGCAGATATCACCACACTTTAGAGGGATGCAGCCTGCATTCTCTAGGACTGACTGGCACCTCCTCACCTTGGAAAATGTTCTACATGCTGTAAATGACAACACAGCATGTGGTTCTGACTTTGAACATGGTCTGGAAATTGTCTGGCTCTGTCTGGGTATGAGCACCTCACCAGTGTATCTGTCTGCTCCAGCTGGTCCCTGCCCCCCGCCC